GGGGGTGGTGGTGAAGGGGTGGCTGGGTGGGTGGGGGGAGGGGGGCTAGATGCTAAAGGAGGCTGCACAAGGTCTTTGGCTGAGGCCACTGCCTTAAGACTTCCCCTGGGAGTGAACAGGTAGGAAGGTACCTGGACTGCAGCTTCTGGCTTCCTGGGGAGTTGAGTATTTTGGGGGCTGTGTACAATGGCCAACACTTTTAAACAGCATTTTTCCCCTGAGCTGCTTATCCATTTCTTTCCATTCCTGGCAACTGACCAGGGTTTGGGTCCTGGGCTTATAAGGGGTGGGCAGAGGGGTTCCCCTATTTCTGGGTTTCTGGGAAACTGTTCAAGGCCTTCAAGTTAATTGCCAGGAATAGAATAAAATTCACCAGTGGCTTAAGGTAGTGGTTCTCAACTGGGGGTCCACAGCCCATGGGCCCCCACCTGGCCCCACAGCCTCCATCTTGCAGGCAGGAAGGCAAGGCTCGCTGCATCCATGCACAGGTGGGCCATAGAAGTTTTATAGTATGCAGGGGGGAGGGGTGCTCAGGAACAAAAATTAAGAACTCCTCACTTAGGGGCTGTTTAAAAGCTGCAGAGGCCTTGGACAGGTCCCCAGAATCCCAGAAGTAGGGGTATTCTACTCCCTTCCCCCCCGCCCCCACCTCAGATTAGCCTGGGCACAATGTTTGTGGGTGACATGCAGATGATATAGGTCAAGGGGCAGTACAGTTCTGGCCAGTTGTTATGCAGGGGTTGTGGTAGGGGACGGGGTAGAGCAGAGCAGCGTGGGATGGCTGGAGGATGGACCAGGTACTAGGTACAGAAAGCATGGTGTCCACATGTCACCAGTTCAAAGACCATTTCAAAATGACACCTGATCATCCAGGTATACTTTTGAAATGTTCCAGGCAGTTCACACTGTTCTAAATCAGCTTCTACATCCAAACCCTTGGGGTTTAAGCAGCATTTAGTTATATGGCTGTCTTCGCGCTCAATTTGCAATCCAGGTAGCACAGTGGTGCTGTGCAATCAGGAGGAGGTAGAGTCCCAGCCCAAGGGTCATATGGCATAGTTGTCTTGACACCGTGCGCCAGGGTGGTGCTCTGTTTCTGTGCGCTGATATTTCAGTGGAAGGTACCTTCACTCCAGAGAATGCACCAGGTATGCTGAGAAGAAATGCCTGTGCCTTAAGGCAGCAAAGAATTGGCTAAAACTAAACTTAGGAGTTTGTATTTGAATCTTAAGTTCTGTTGATACCGGAAGTCGCTTATGAAGTGGGTCCAAGCACTTTTTAAGTAGCTGCAGAGCTTACTGTATCGTCACACGGCCTAACTCTTGCTGCCCAGGAACTCTTGCTTTCCAGGAATTAGCATTCTGATTTGGCACCAGTATGTAAAAATAGTGCACGATGGCAGGACAGCAGGGTAAAGTACTTTCACTAAGTGCTTGGTTCAGCAATTTTACCATGAGAACCCTTTGGGGTTTTTTTTGCAATTTAGCTTAAAATCCTTCGGTGGCAAGTTAAACTTTGTAAGTCCTTGTAGCAAGGTAAGTGCCACATAAACACAGTGGCACCATTAGTTTAGGGGAGAAAAACAAGCTTCTCCCTGTAGACACTGTTAACTATTACCTTTCTACAAAATATGATCCCTGTAGCATTTTTCAGTAGCGATTATCCATCCCTGTTTACAGGTGTGATCCATCAGAGGTTTCTCACAAGGATCCCCTACTTCCTTTCATAGATGGGAACCAATTTATTCCTTCTAGGACCAAGAGGCTGTCTTTTCTCTGTATAAGTGTTCCCACCATGCCTTGAATCTCTGTTCTTTGATTTTTCTGTTATACTGGTGTAGCTTTCTAATGAGAACTGATCCATTTTGGAAATAATCTGTGATCTGTAAGGCCCGCTTGCTCAAAAGCAGAACACTGTAACAGGTATAATACAGTAATACTATTCTTCCACAATGGGTTATGTACCACGAAGTGGCATCTGGTTAAAATCACTGACTACATCGTAAAGTGTTATTCTGAACTCTACATATCTACATATAATGTTATGCCCAGAAGTGATTTTGCCTTAGGAGGTATATATCATGTTTGGAACATTGTTACACTTGAACTTATTCCCAACTACTTTTAATCCTTCCATCTTCTGCACTGTCCTCACTCTGAAAGAAATTGTATACTTCCATTAGCATGTAGGAATGCGTTAAAATAATTATTTCTGCCTAAACAAAGAAAGGATAAAACACCTAGCTTTCCCCATAAAAACAATACATACGTGGGTTCCCACCTCCTCCCCCTCCATAAGCATCTATTGCAAATAACTTGTTGGGGTTGTCATAGGTTCTACCAGAGTCTATAAAACTCCATTATTCAGAAGCTGAAGGATCACCATAGGGGGGAGAAATACAAATCAGTGACTTGGAGTCTTAAACTTTTTTTTCTGGTCAAAGCACTGTGGTAACAGCAACTAGAAAGGAGATTTTCTGAGAAAGAAGTTTCACAGAACACTAGCTGAAATCATTTTTATCAGACTACATGCAACAGTGTGAACAGCTGATTAAATTCAAGAAATGTACCTAACTTAGGGAATTTGTGACTCTTGGCTAGGAAAATCTGTAAAGCTGTGTGTGGGGGATGGTAGGTGGACACACCTGTTAAGCATGACAGATATGCGTCTGCACCATGTGAATATGATGCTCAGCATGCCATTCTCCAAATTAAATCACTTGGTCAGCCTAGAGATGACCTTGTACCTTCCTGTTTACAGGAAACGCAGGGGTGGTGACAGTCATATTTTGATTGGCTCCCCTGTGAATCAGGCAGCAATGATGCACAGACCAGTTGTAGTACATACACAGGAAGACAAGAATCTTTTTAGCTGTCTATAAACGCTGAATCTGATCTTGGCAAAGATTAACTCTCTGCTGAGATCAGATGTATCAATATCATAGTTTGACTCAGAAGGAATGAAGGGAAGACCACTGCTTAAGGTCTGTCTTCAGAGATAGCACTTCTAACCTACATGGCACCCCACTGTACAGTGTGCAAAACACACATCTGTTTCCAGTTATTTTCACAACCATAAGGGTTGGGCATGTTAGAAGACAAATATTTTGGCTCTCGTCAGCTCTACAGTGGAGGGAGGGAGATAACTTGCATGGCTTCAAGCCTGAAATTGAGTGTTCTGGGGACATTTTCAAAAGACACAGGTGCTTACAGTCTGTTGAAAAACAACAAATGAATCATCTGTGCTTTTGAAATCTACTCCATCAGAACTGATGCTAAGCAAATACCAAATCAGATGCTTGATGGGTAAATGCATTTTTTGTTCAAATAAGAACCACTGAAGGGAGAAGTATTTAAAGCATTCTATATTAAGTTCAAACACACTTAATGGAAAAGTATGGTTCACTAAAATTGAAGAAGCTGCAGTGACAGGGCTAAAATTGCATCTGATTATCCAAGAAGTGCCCTTGTTATGTCCTGCTGTAAAAAAATCTTTCTTGTGCTAGTACTTACACTGTTCATTTAAAAGGATCTCTTCCTACAGGAGCTGAAATGTGACGTAAGGGAAAGTGAACTGGTACATGGGGTAGACTTGAGGGGTAATGTACTTGCTGTATAGAAAGTGGTAAGGTACATACTGCACTTCCCAGGAGAACCCCTGAAACTTCCTTCCAAATCTGCCCATGTATTACCATATTTACTTGAATACAGGATAAGTCGGCTCTGACACCCTCCTCTTGGTGCCAAAAAAGCTACATTTTATTTTAGCCAAAAAGGGTAAGATACTGTTGGGAACCTACCGCAAGGATAGATTTGTGCAGCCCATCTTTATATAACATATCTAGTAGTACTCATTGAGTACAGTCCCCCTCAGTGCTAACTTCTTTTCAAGTCAGGGTGAGCCACTACACTGAATACATTTCCTCTTTACTCCCACAGCTGATCTGTGCCTTTCTTTCCTATTTCCAGTGATTTCTGTTTCCTCAACAGCCTTAGGTGTCTGGCAAACATGACCAAACAGGGGTCCCAGTTCACCTAGAAGCCCTCCATCATCCCCTTCTTCGGCCTGTCGCAGGTGATCAGTATGACTCTGCCCTCCATGAGGTGGAGCCAGACCAGCTTGCCCTGCACCTCCTCTGCATATACATTTTTTAAGGCTCCCAGGACTCATGACAAGAACACCCAGTTCCAATCATGAGTGAGGGGCTAATTAGCACATGGATCCTTTGTTTGGGCATCTGGATAAACACACACTGAGCAGTGCTGAGCTGTGGGGTCACTATGGCTTGAAATGCTGTTGGCTCTGCCAGGGCCCAGGTCAATGAACAATATGACAAATCATATTGCCTTTTGGCTCTTGATTAATGCCATGCATAGTTTATACTATATGTAAGGAGGTACTTCCTCTTCTCGTGTTTCTACTTCACATTTGACCATTTTTGTTACACATGCTTGCACCTGTTTATTGTACTTCACTATAAAATTAAATTAATAAATTAACAAACAAGCAGATGTTCACAGCTGAATTGTGAATGGATCTTAACACTGTAAATGGACCTCTGGGCCTTTTCCCTGAAATTAGGTTGAGATATTCAAGATAAGTGTCTACTAGGGTGGGAATGAAGCAAAGGTTGCTCACAGTGTTCAACCTATTCAGAATCTTGCTGGCAGGTTAAAATCTTATTATTCACTCTGCACATTGAATCAAGGATAAACATCTCTCTTACACCTCTTAACACCTCTCTTTCACGCTATTTACTTTCCACTTCTCTTCCAAATGTCACACCATTTCCTGCCACAGCTCTTTGGCGAAAATGCACTTTTGCCGTTAACTGCTCATCAGTTAACACAGTGAATTAAGTCCGTCTTATATTGGTAAGAGACTATTTGCTGAACTTGCTTTAAAATGGTGCACTCTAAATAAATCTTAGCGCAAGCTATTTATACCACCTACCTCAGCAAAGGTGCAACAATGTCAGAGCTGCCCAATGTATATGATGTATTGGAAATTCAGTAAGACTATGCCAGTGTGACTTTGGGGTAAGAATGCTATGGTCTGCTGCCATGGATTTCTACTGCTAGGGAATCAAAACTCATCACACCTGTTAGAGACACTTTGAAGACTACCATTAGTGGTGCAGCTCCCAGATAAAAACAATTGTTTCCAAATACCAAAAGGCATTCTCACCTTTTTGCCTCCTGGAGAAGAAGTATCAGGGGGCGGTGTGCTCGTTATGTTCAATGGACTGGAACCACAGCTGGAAGGTGATGATCCTCTTATCCTGTTACACCAATGTAATTAAGATTAATAAGAGGCTTCTGAAGAATAATCTCAACAATACAGTTTGAGAGAATGTATTAGCATTGGTTCCATGTGTTATGACAGCTTTTTATGTCAGTATGCATGAGATGTGTAGCTTCAGCCTACCCATAAATGGAACTCTACATTACTGGCCTCTCCAGTATAGACTGTAAATAGTTCAATCAGTTGAGTTTAGCACACTGCAAATTTCTCAGTTTATGAACTTTACCTTTCCTTCCCTATTCTTTTATTGTTGAGCCTCAAACTAAAATGGTAAGATGCAACACCTTAGGTCCTGGATGGATGGACCTTCCATCTTAAAGCTTGGGATAGATCCTCAGCTTATGTAAGTTTATACTAGTTTAGAGAAGCAGAAGATCTACTCTACAATATTCACAATTAAACTGCTAAAAGGAAGACCAAAAAAATAAAATAATGGAGTATAGTCATATTTGCTTTTTCTCCGAGTCATCATCGCTACAGAGGTATTTGGGTTTCTCTCTTCATCCCACTGATGTAGTGAACATGTATTTAAAGAGAGACATTTTCAAAGCTGTGCTTTTCACATTGTCCAGGACTTCCCTAACTTGGTATGTTTGTCATTTTGGTGAGTCCCCTGGAGCAGATGACATGTTATAATGAAGATGGTTCAGTTAAGCATGTTGTGTGCAAATGGCTGCACAAACCTACATGTTTTAAGTTCTTTTTGTCACAATTTATGCATTGTCACCCAACAAGCAAGTCAGTCTGCTACTGTAGCCAACACCCTTTGCACCTTACCTCCCTGCCCAAGAGCACACAGTTGTTCAGAATGACCCCTATCTTTCCTTCTGTAGTACTTACATATTAGTGCTGCATATATTATATGCACATCTTCAGAAACCTAGTGTAAACTGGACAGGCTTATTTATTTATTAACAAAAAAGTACTCCCTTGAATACTAAAGAAAACTGAGAACAAGCTAGGAATCTCATTTACTATAGCAGCATTTCAGCTGAAAGGCTGAGCAAGATGCAAAACAGGAGCTAAAGAAAGGACTGGAACTAAACCAGTGCTCTCCAACTGAATGGAAAGCAAAGACAGTATACTTTGTTTCTCTTTGTCCTTTGTTTCTCTTTGAAAGACAAATAATAGAACAAAATGCTATTTAATATTAGTTTCAGAAATTGTTTCACTGCTTGTAAAAGTGATAGAAGGTTCAAAGTTCTTGTTCAGTCTGGAATTCACTTTTTTAGATTAAAAAAAAAAGGAGCATTTGTGCTCAAAAGCATAAAGAAAAGACAGCACCTCCTTACTCAGACAGCCTGCTTTTGTTTGTCATTTAAATGACAAAAATACTTGTTACTTTAAGGTAGGAGGAGCTCACTTACTTACACGTCAATGGAACTGGGTAGCACAGACATCTCTTAGGGCAGATAACAGCCCCCCTACCTTAAAGATGGCGGCAGGCATCTAGTGCAGTGGTCCGTGGACCCATGGGGGTTTGCAGACCATGTCTAAGGGGTCCGTGAAAGATGGCTATGATCAATCAAAAGTATGTAAATACCCACACTTACAATTCAAAGAGGTCTCCACCTACATTAGAAACTTCCAAAGGGGTCCACACCTCCATTCAAAATATTCTGGGGTCCGCAAATGAAAAAAGGTTGAAAACTACCAATCTATTATAACTTAAAGTGGTCTTTATATTTGGTTTTGAGCAGCAGGAAGGTAATCTTTGGGATGGGGGGGATGCATACTACCCCTGGTCAACAAGCTTTTATTTCAGATTCCCAAACTGAGTTTACAGGTCTGATAGTTCCAAAAGCATAAAACTGAGCAACTCTTTCTGAAGTCAGTAAGACATGTAATAAGGCGCTATATTATTTCAGTGTCACAGGTACACAGCCATGCTTTTACAGGCCTAAGTTTAATTTTATGCTTAAAAATTAATTTCAGAGGGGGAACGATATTAAATATTAATTTCCGAGGTGCAAGATGCCCAGCTGTCAGCTCTTATGCATTAACTCATACCATTCCCATTCAAGTTGATTTCTAGCACACGTTTTCTTGTATTTAATTGGCAAAAGGCCCACAGTGATTTGTGGCCTCCAGATCACTAAATAAGCACTAACAAGCCACGTTATTCCAGTATAGAACATAGTTGGTATGGAACCTGTAGCCCCCTACTGGAAATCTTTAGGCATGGCACGCAAGCATGATAAGCATTTTTATTTTACAAACAGAGGTATAAAAACTTGTTTATTCATTACGCATTATTTTCATAAACATAACTGACAAAAAACAGCTACAACTGGGGGGGAAGGGGAGGAATCTAGATACTATAAAGCTAAGCAGGTGCAATCATTTAGGTATAAATATATCACTACTTTAAACTTCACCACTTCTACTCCTAGGGCCTTCTCAGGCAAAATTGCTACTTACTATGAGCTAAGTACTAGGGGGGGGACATTTATCTCTGACCCCCTATATACCTATTTCTACTCTAGACTAGCCTCTGGATTTGGCCACAAGTTAGCATTACACACAGCAAAACACCAGAACAGAGGAATGAAAATCAACTTGCAGAAGTGCATGGTGTTTATTTTACTTAATGTATCCTTACTTAAACTCATTAATATACAAGTTGCATCATTACAGACTTCATTACACACTAGTCATGAGTTTATTTAGAAGATGCTTCTAAGCTGAGGTCAAACACAGCACTAATGCAACTTGACTATTTCTGTTACCCAGCCTTGTTGTTCAGAACTAGCATAGGTCTCTGCATTGACACATACTGTGCCCTTGGGTTAGGTACAGACATTCAAAAAGCACAAGGCAAAATCAATCTAAGTTATGTGGTGTTCTGTAAGCAGTGTAGGTTAAGAGCAATAGTGAACAGAATGCATGTTCACTCTTGGAGGGGGTAGAGGGGAAGGGGAGGGCACGCAGGCTGGGGGAGCTCCTGCATTTCCCCAGATCCATGTGCTCACTTACGTGAGCATGTGCAGACTCCGTGTGGCTCCACCCAAGCACGAGGGTTCTCCTGGACTCGGTGTCAGGTACGTATGTAAATTGTGGGGTGCTCCATGATGGGGTGTGAGGGAACGGGCTGTGGATGCGGGTGCCCAGGGCTCATGCACGGGAAAAAAGATGCTTTCCTTTCACACTCCCACTGTCTGCTTGTGGCTGACATCTGGCCAGAGGCAGGAGACAGAGCTGTGGAAAGGTTCTGCGCTGACTCGGCTCTGTGACAGCTTGGGGGCAAGAGCTCCTGGACACTCTGCGGCAGCTGAGTGCGGGGCAAGTACTAGTGCACATCCCTGCGAGGGGGTGGGGGGGCTACCAGGGGGCTGCAAAGGAGCCTGGGATGCTGATGGACAGCAACCTAATTTGAATTGATAGAGGAACCGGTACTGAAGTTTGATGCACCTAACTTAAATCAGTTAAGTTTGATTGCACATCGATCCAGGTCTATCTTAGACTGGTCTAAAAATTCAGAACTTGGTCTATGCGCACCAAACTTCTGTTCTGTTACAGGTTTAGACCACTAAAAGTATACGGCACCCATACACATACAATCAATCTACTCTCATGCACAGTAATTACAGCGCGTTGGAGCAGACCCAGTTCTGCTGGAGTGTGGTAATTACTGTGCTCTAACAGACTCCAGCATCATGTGTATCAGTGCTCCCACACTGAAAAATGGTGGCGGGGGTGCTTTAACTAAAGCTCATTCAATGTGCTTTAGTTAAAGTGCTCTGCCACCATTTTTCAGCACAGGGAAGCTGATACAAGTGACAGTCCGGGCACTTTAATTAGAGTGGCTCTCAGAGCTGCTCTAATTAAAGCACCCCTCCATTC